ACGTCAGCCTTTATTTACATCGAGTGTTGGAGCCACATTGTTCCAGGATCTTAGACAGAGAAGGTGAGGGAGGTGATATCTGCTATTGGACCAACTTCTGCTTCGAGCTTACACAGAACTCGACTTCAGGTTGTCTCTCTTATTTAAAAACCTCTCTTGTATTTTGTACTTATTTAAATCTAACCTGCTGTGATTGACTTTCCTGTGACCGGATTGGTATTTCTATAATGCACACTTCAGATGTGCCCGGCTGTTGCTGCTTTTATCGGTAGGTTCCATACATAATTAAGAAGTGTAATGGTCATTCTTGGTCCAGTAACAATTCCCAGTGCTATCTGTCCGAGTGTCTCAGAGCATAAGCTAAAACAAAAGGAGTACTTGTGGCACCTTAGAGACTAACCAATTTATTTGAGCATAAGCTTTCGTGAGCTACGAAGCTCACGAAAGCTTATGCTCAAATAAATTGGTTAGTCTCTAAGGTGCCACAAGTACTCCTTTTCTTTTTGCGAATACAGACTAACACGGCTGTTACTCTGAAACAGAGCATAAGCTGATGACCAGATGTGGTCTGGAAGAAGTCTCCCCCATGGTATAATAATGAGCAATTAGATACATTATGGAGGTTTTATGTTTTTCTCTGAAGCAACTGATATTGGTCACTGTGAGAGACAGGACACTGCTCTAAATGGACATTGCTCTGCACCAGGAAGGCAATCTCATGTTCCTGCACTGTCACTGGGGACTAGACTGAAAAGCACCAGGAACCATACTGTAGAGAACACCCCTCCCTTAGCAGGGAGATGGACCTACCAGATCCTTTTCATCTCTCATGTCTGTGACTCTATTACTCAAGGTCGACAAGGCAAAACAAGCAAACAAACAAAAAATGCATCCAAAACATTTAAAAAAATGTCTCTTCCCCCGTTACTAAAAAAACCTAAAATGACGCCTGTCCTCTGCGAAACACCTAGGCCCAGGTCCTCACAGGGAATAAGGTACCTATGGCCTGGTCTACATTAAAAACAGAGAGGCACCTAGCTATGTCGCTAAGGGGTGTGAAAAATCCACCCCTCTGAGTGGTGTAGTTAAACCGACCTAACCTCCGGTGTAGACAGCGCTAGGTCTATGGAAGAATTCTTCTGCTGGCCTAGCTACCCCCTCTCGGGGAGGTCAGGGGCGGCGAGTTGTATGGGCCCATGGCGCCTGTGCTCCACCAATAGGAGAGCATGGGGGCCCGGCTCCACCAAAGTTCGGGGCCGGGTCTCTCCCCCGGCCCCGCCTGCCGCCCCCAGGCAATTTAAAAGGGCCCAGCGCCCCCGCCGCCACCACCAGCAGCTTCCTGCCTGCCCGTCCACTCCTGGAAGTGGCTGTCAGGTCCCTGCCGCCCCAGGTGGGGGTGTCTCCATGCGCTGTCCCCGCCCCAAGCACCAACTCTGCCAACTGTGGCCAATGGGAGCTGCGGGGGTGGCGCCTGCGGGCAGCGGCACACGGAGACCCCTGTAGCCCCCCGCCTAGGAGCTGCTGCCAGAGGGGGGTGCGGGTTGCTTTTGGGAGCCACCTGAGGTAAGCACTGCACCCCTCACCCTCACCCTCTCCCACACCCCAACCCCCAGTCCCAGCCCAGAGCCTGCACCCCGCACCCAAACTCCCTCCCAGAGCCCACCCTCTCACCCCATCCCGCAGCCCAGACCCCACACCCTGCACCCAAATTCCCTCCCAGAGCCCATCCCCTGCACCCCAACCTTTAGCCCCAGCCCCAGCCCAAAACCCGCCCCCTGCACCCAAACTCCTTCCCAGAGCCTGCCCCTGCACCCCCCCCGCACCCAAATCCCCAGCCCAGAGCCCACCCCACACACCCAAACGCCCTCCCAGAGCCCACCCCCTACACCCTCTCCTGCACCCCAAACCCCGTCACAGCCCAGAACCTGCCCCCTCACCTGCACCCAAACTCCCTCCCAGAGCCTGCCCCCTGCACCTCCTCCCTCACCCCTGCCCCAGCCCAGAGCCCATACCCTGCAACCAAATGCCCTCCCAGAGCCCAGCCCCTGCACCGCCTGCTGCACCCCAACCCCAGCCCAGAGCCCGCCCCTGCACCCAAACGCCCTCCCAGAGCCTGTCCCTGCACCCCCTCCTGCACCCCACCCCCTGCCCCAACCCAGGGCCTGCACCCCACACCCAAGCTCCCTCCCAGAGCCTTAAGCAGGTGTGGGGGGTGGGGACAGGACTTGGATCCGTTCTGGGCTCTACTAAAAATTATACAAACCTGCCGTCTGTGTGGGAGGTGGATTAACTACGGCGATGGGAGAACCCCTTATATCGGCGTAGGGGGTGTCCACACTGAAGCGCTGCAGCCGTGGGGCTGAAGCCTTTCAAGTGCAGCCAAGCTCTAACTCGCATTGATTTCAGCGGGAGTTAGCCACCAAAATACCGTTGAGGATCTGGGCCAGAGCTCCTCAGTGGAATGGTGCCACAATCAGATAACAAGGAATTTATTTGGTATGAAAACACACATTAGCTTAGGATCCCAGAGGAAAAAAAATAACCTCAACTCCACCTCCCCAAATACACCCAAACCACCACTGCTATACTGAATGTCTAGGCAGCCGTTTAACAATCTCATGGGTGTTTTTTACAGCCTGCTGTTCACGAGTAACAGCTGAGGTGACTAAAAATAGAAGAGAATAGAGGAAACATTTTTCTGTGTTTCCATGTGTTTGCTTTGTTCACCTGACAGGACTTTGGGTATGATCATCTCCATTGTTCTGCCTCCTTAGTCAATTAGGGCTTGTCTACATGGCTAGTTAGTGCATGGCAAGACGGGGTGTGAATGTATACCACGCTAGCCTGCAACTCACAAACTAGCCATGGTGGACCTTGCTCCTGCCTGCTAGAAGTCCCCCAGCGCTCTCTGATGGCCTCCCATCAAAAGGCACTGCAGAACTTTTAGGGTACGTCTACACTGCAATAAAAAAGCCACAGCACCAAATGTCAGTGCCTGGGTCAGTTGCCGGGCTAAAAATGGCAGTGTAGACGTTTGGACTCAAGGTGGAGCTTGGGCTTTGACACCCTTCCCATTTGTGAGGTTTCAGACCCTGCGCTCCAGCCCAAGCCTGAATATCCACACTGCAATTTTTAGCCCCCCAGCATGAGTCCTGTGAGCCCAGGTCAGCTGACCTGAGCCAGCCGTCGGTCTTTTATTGTGGTGTAGCAGGATCCAGGCAAGCTAGTGTGCCGTATATTCACATCTCACCTTGCCACACACTAATGAACCATGTAGTCAAGCCCTTAATCAGTTTCCCCCTTGTTTGTGGGGGTCTTTCAGGTAGCAACAGGGAGGGGAGGAAAATATTTTTAAAAGTAGGAAAATGGGATTGCAAAACCTCAGAAATTGTCTTAGGAATTCCAGGCTAGGTGTAGTAACTGAAACGTCTTTGACCTCTTTCTTTCTTTCTTTCAGTTGACCACCATGGATTTCAAGTTCGCAGAGTCCCTTTAAGGTTGAAAGTGCAATTTTGGTGTTTGAATTGATTGACCTTGCAAAGAACTCTGGAGTTATAAGCTAAGTGAAGGCATTATAACCCCCCCGCTTGCTATGTAAGTCATGGCGAATGTCTTCCCCCATAGTAGCGATATGGCACAAATCTTTTAAACTAGGTCTCCGAGCTCCCACACAGATTATGTCTCACACTCGCGTGCTGCTTGTATAATGTCATCCTTGCCAGTCCAGTTTGGTCTGGTCAGCTGAGGTTGTCCATCTGGTTCAGTAGCATTTATACCTGTTTGTTCTCAATACAGACTGGGACCAAAACCCCAATTCTGAGTACCCCTGATCTGAGTATTGGTAGCCACAGCCGTTCAAAAATTGCAAGCCATGCCCCCCCCCCCCCAATCATGATATTGGCTTACAAGAATCACAGGGTTTTTACAAATAATTGTTGAGTTCTTTTTATTTGCCTTATAGGTTTTGAACCTCCCTTTGCTTTAAACGAAAGCAAAGATTCTTGTGAAACAGCATGACTCCAGAAGCTGGGTCTTTAAGAAAAGCACCAAATATCATGAGATTCATGATAAAAAGCATGAGCGCTGGCAACATGGTAAGTATTGCATACATGCGAGAGTGGGACAGAGTGAAAAATGGGTTTTTCAGTTGAAGAGGTTGAACCGAAAAATCCAGATAATTCCAGTTCAATCGAAAGCAATTTTTTTCCTGAAAGTTTTCATTTAAAAAAAAATCATTTTGAGTCAACTAGAAATGAATTTCTTTTCAAGGGTTCTTTTCAAAGGGCTGATTTGGGAGTATTTTCCCCTTTTTTGGGTGTTTTTTTTTAAACTGGCCAAATGTCAATTTTGAAACCCCATTCAGAATTGTAAAGTCAAAACAGCCACTTTGGTATAGAACGTTGACTCTTTTGAATTTTTTTTCCCCCAACCAATACCTTCTGCTGAATTTAACCTGAATTCGACATCTAGCTTTCGGGACTCAGAAAATGCTTTTATCAGTTAAAAACCTATTCAATGAAAAAAATTCATCCTGCTCTCTGCATGAACGTGGTTCAAAATCATAGCCCGATTCTGGATTTCACAGATCTGTATAATCCAAACCCCTAGATCCAAACACTGGCACTCTTTGCAGTCAGAATTTTAGTTTGCAGGATCTGCATTTTGCAAATGAACTGGGGACAGAGGAAGCATCGGAAGAGCCAAGAAATCCTGGGTGTTCTAAATCTAGATCCAGAATGGGTGTCTGGAGCCCCTTTCCCATCTGGTTCTGACTCCATTTTGCCCAGGGAAAGCACTCCAGAAAAAAAGTCCGCTAGGATTTGTTTGGTTTGCTGGCTTGCTTTATTACATCTTCCCATCATTCCCCTGCTAGGTCAGCTCAAACGAGAACAACACTCGTCTTTGCTCTGACAGCTGGGAACCGGTTTGATTCCCATACTTATTAGAGTAAGACTAGTGTGGGCTGGCTGGAGATGGCATCACTCTGATTGTATGACATTCTTCTGCACCAGCACGCCTCCTCTGCTCGCCAGTAGGCTTGCAAGAGCTGTGAAAGCAGTAAGAGTTCTCCCTTCCCAAGCAAAGGATGAGCTTGCCTCGACAGGCAGGCACTGGTAGAAGCTGCTGCTGCTCCCTGTGTGTAGGCTCTCACAAATCAGGAAGGAGGGGAAAGTGACAGAGAAACAATAACACCAAAAACTCCTCCAAAACAGCTGATGATGAAAGTGACCAGGAAGAAAGCAACTTGAAGGCAGCAGCGGGAGGAGGACAACGATTTTCCAAGAAACCTGGAACAGCAAATCTGTGAGTGTGTGACTGTAATGTGGTAATCTGTACTTTCTCTTTCTTCCCCTTTTCACAAACGCACAAGGGGGCACAAAACCAAGTTACATTTAGTTCCCTGAGAGGGGTGGGTGTATGCAGCACTCTTACCAGTAACTGCTGTCCCCTTGAGCTCCAGGATTTATCTTTGGTTTGGAGAGAAAAACTAAACATTGAAGGGACTGTGCTGCCTGAACATTGGACCCTGCTTCTGTGTGTGTGTGGGGGTCGGTGGGTGGGTGTGCACGCGTGCACACGCTCTAATGCTAATCACAGGGTGTAACTTGTTGCTGATTGTCTCTGGGTTGTCGCTGTCCTAACCTGGATCCCTTTCTAAAAATAGGATCTAGCAGAACAGAGGCCAGCTTCGGTCCTTCTCCACCCACTCACTGCTGTTGTGGGTCCTTGTTGTTTATGAAGGGGAGTGAAAACTGAGTGACATGGTCAGCCAAGGGCTGCGTCCAACTGCCCTGCCTTGACTGAATGACGTTTCCAAGTTCAGGAATCATAAAATCTCAGGGTTGGAAGGGACCTCCAACCCCCTGCTCAAAGCAGGGCCAATCCCCAACTAAATCATCCCAGCCAGGGCTTTGTCAAGCCTGACCTTAAAAACCTCTAAAGAAGGAGATTCCACCACCTCCCTAGGTAACCCATTCCAGTGCTTAATGAGGAGTGAGGTTTTAAAGCCCTCACTGACATGCACCCAGCCGAACAGAAAGACAGACTTGAAAAACTCCCCTTTCATATCAACCTACAGCCAGAAAGGTTCCCCCCCAACTCACTGTAAGGGCAGGTTGGCAGCTCTGGGCAGAGTGACTGCAAACATGACCTCATCTCGCTTGGTAACTGGATACTGTGCATCGGGCTATTTATTGCCGTTGCTCTGCTGTCACGATCCATTGTCAGAAACAAGTTGGAGACCAAACGAGGGAGAGACTGACAGGGTGTGGAGTGGGCGCTGCTCAGAGCAGCAGGAAGGGGCTGGCTTGCCTGTTGATATTGTGATTGGCTGTAAATATTTAGCAGGTTTCAAAGCAGTGGCAGGTGCCGCTCAGCCATGCCAGTGTAAACCAGGAGGCGCAGCCCTGAAATGGGTGTGTGACTCCAGATTGAGGCCAGTGTAAGTGAGAGGAGAGTGGCTCAGTGTGGCTGTAGTTCTCTGCTGCTCTGTCCTCACACTTCCTGACCTGCTTCCCCCACCAGAAAAGAAAATAATAATAAAAATAAACACCGGGTTTGCTTATCAGTTTCATGTCCTCTGCTCCTCAGCTGCCAGTTTAACCCCTGAACTCTGACAGGAGTGAAAGGTAAAGGCAGAAAAATGGTGGCAGCTGGAGTGGGAAATGCAGGGGGGAGGTGCCAGAGCAGTGGAGCTGGGGGAATGGGAGCAGAGAGGAGGACTGGGGCAATAGGGGAGTGAACAGCCAGGTGTGTGAGCAGCTACAGCTGTTTGGCTGGTCTGGGTGGGAGATCTGTTCCTGCTTTCCCCTGAGACAGCAGGAGGAAGCTGGAACAGGATAAGGGGCAAGAACGCAGACCTGTTTGTTGCCTCCACCTATGGCATCTTGTCATGAACCAGGACTATAAGCTTTTCAGGGCAGGGACGGTCTACACCATGTTCGTGCAGCACCTAGCACGTCCCTTTGATCTGCAAGCAGCTCTCAGTGTCCCAGTGACGAGAAGGCCCCTAGGTACCCGAGACCTACTCAGCTCAGTAAACAGGCAGTGGGAGGACAAAGCGTATGTAACGACTTCCCTCTTGGCTGTTACCAGGATGAACCTAGACCCTTCAGCTGAAAGTGAAGAGCATAAACCACGGCAGATGGAGCTAAAGAGCTGACCCTCTGAACCAGCCGCTGCAGTAGGCTTGTAGCCTCTGGCCATCAGGCACATAGAAAAACACATAACTAGAGGTGGGCAAAAGAATTTCGATGCATGTTTCCCTGTCGAAGCTGAAATGTTTTGTAGAAATGTATTTGTTGGGAAGGTTTCTGGGGTCCAGGATGTAATTGAGAGAGAGAGGCCACCCCAGAGTATCCTGGTTTGGGGGCAGGGGAGAGAAGGAAAGGTGACGGAGACGGCCAGAAGAGCCTAGTGGTAGGGCACTTACTTGGGATGCGAGACCCAGGTTCAAGTCCCTGCTCTCTCCTGTGAATCAGGCAGAGGAGGGTGAAACAGGCAGGGCTCTGTCCCTGTGTAGTTATTGCTGCTGCTGCTCAGTGCCAGAGCACACACCCGCCCGCCCCCCCCAGGGTGCCAGTAGCATCCCAGTGTGCCACAACTTGGTGCATCAAGAGGTAGTCTGGTGGGTGCTGCAAATATCCTAGGTGCAGAGGCTTAGACAATCACAGTTCAAAGGGAGCAATAAGGGGTCTGGTTTGGCCCCTGGGGGAAGTCAACGTGACTGTCAGGGCCAGGAGAAATGGAAGCTCCCTAAAAGCATGGGGGGGGGGGCAATGGCACCCAAACCGTGGCCTGGCCCCCCACCCCAAGCTGCCCCTTCTCTCTGAGCCCCTCTCCTCGTGCCATCCCTTCCCCCAGAGATCCTGCTCCCGTAGTGCCTCTTCCCCCCCAGACACCACCCCCCACTCACTCTTCTCCACCTCTTCCCCCTCCTCACTCGTCCTTACGGCCAATACTAAGTGGGAGGGCTATCCCTGCCCCGTTCCAGCACCCCGGTCAGGGCTCTTCAGAATCCCGGTCTGCGTGCCCTCTCTCGTCTAGTCTCTAGTCAAGCAAATAGGCACTTGCAGGTTTCCAGGCCAGCCTCACCTTCGGGCTTGTCTTCACTGCAAGTGTTAGCACGAGCTAGTACACTCGAGTTACTGCATCAGAGCTAACCCCGCTTGAGTGAGGGCGGCCACACTGCCAACCAGCCCTGGAGCTACACAGCGGTAAGGCTGGGGCAGCTGCTGCTGAGATGTAATGCCAGCTGCTGCCTCTCCGCTGCCTTACTAGCCTGAGTATCAGCATCCCTCGAGCTTCAGCTCCTTCCCCACTGCCCGCCTAGCTCGTGGGAGTTTAAAGCACCATTTAACTCAAGCTAGGGATTTGCGTATGTGGCCGGGTGTTGAGTTAGGGGTAACGCTCCAGTTCTGACGTGAGCTAACTGTGTGGTGAAGACACAGCCTTAGGTGAGTGTCTCTCACGGGGGTCCTGCCACAGGGTGCGCTACTCACCGCTCCCTGGCGCCTCCTGCTGGCTGCTCTGGGGATTAGCTCTTTCAGCCTGACGCCCTCCTCTTGCGGTTCCTCGGCCCATCGTCTCACTCTGTCACCCCCTCTCTGGCTCCTCGGGAGCTGCGGCGCCTCATCCTCATGGCTGAGCCCTCCGGCCACGTCACAAGAGTCCTACCCTTCCCAGCTGTCACCACAGTCTTCCCCGTGATCCCAGGCGGCCCTTACATCCACTGGCCTGGCCAAGCTGCTCCTCAGTGGCTTGAACAAAGAGACCCAGACAGTCTTGAAGTTCACGGCCCAGATTGTGCCACTCATTCAGGGGCTGCTAGGGGAACCCCAGCCTGCCCTCAACTCTTGGCTCCATCCCGGGACCCTGTCTCCAGCAGCCAAGGTCTGTGTTAGCCCGAAGCTTCCTGCTGCTCCCCTGGACTGTTTCCTACCCTGTCCCACCCTATCCCAGGTTTCCTACCCTATCCCAGGCTTGCATCCTCTGCCCTTCTAGCCAAACCCCTCTTGCCTGGCTCCGCTAGACAGACCCTTCCTCTTGGGGCCAAAGCTTCTTCTCTCCCTTGTCCCAGGGAGAATGACTGCAGCCCTCTTCTCTACAGCCCCTTCCTGCTGCCAGCTCCTGGGCTTTATAAATGCCCCCCACCTGTTCCTGCACAGGTGAGCGCTCCTCTCAGTCTAAATATCCCCCAGCTTGCAGCCTGATAGGTTAATTGGCCCACCCGGCCTATGTTAACCCCATCACAGGCCCCTCCACACTGGCTGCTCCCCAGTCACTGCTGCTCCCCATAAGACCCACCCAGACCTGCTCCCAGCTGTAACATTCAGCAGCCCCTGCTCTGCATACAGCTCCAGGGGGGCTTTCTCTGCAGCTCCTGGCTCACCATGCACCTGCTGCTTCCCAGCAGAGTTCAGCCCTTCCCGGATCAGGACCCTTCCTGGTAGCTGGTCAGGAGAAAGGGAATTGTGGTGGGGAGGGTGCTGATGGGAGTTGCAGTCCCCTGCTTAGCAGATCCATCACAGTTGCTCCTTATCCTGCTTTTGGTCTACACTTGGCTATTCTCAGGTGTCTCTCCCATTCTCGGGCTTTTTCGCAAAAGAAAATCGAAAGTCCTCATTTTCATTCCACACTCACAGACTCCTGTTTGGTCAAACTCTCAATTATCCAAATGACTCGGTGTCACCAACGGGGTTTCGGCTAAATGGGATCCTACGTTAGCCCACAGAACGTCTGCTAGTTCATTATGAAATAACAGTGGAGCTAAAGTACCGGTCTTAAAAGAAATGACCAAAGTGCCTGGTGTAATGCACAAGGCTCGCATTGCTTGTCTTAAATGGTTTTGTCACTCACCTATTCATTCACAACATTCAGTCATTCAAATGGGGCTTCCCGGCGTCAGTGGGGATTGGCAATGTATTTTTATTAATAACCACCTGCGCGCAACTATATTAAAAGCCACACACCATTAGAACTTTTAGCCTACTTTCTTTCCCTGGGGTGACTCGGCGGATGTACTGGGTCTTGCACTCTTCAACCTTTTTGCAATTTTACACCACTATACTGTCGTCGGTTTCAGCTGAGTTAATTTTAATTTACCAGCGTAAACGAGATCAGAGCGAGGCCCATCATCTCTAACCAGGCTAATCGGTCATTTAGTTTGCTGTTGATCAGGGACAAGCAATGACACAGGTTTTCTTAACTGGAACTTCTGGGTAAGCTACAAGAGTTAGTGAATGCAGCGTTGATGGTGTTCCATGTTTGCAGGGGCAGCTTTTTTGTCTAAGTATCTTATTTCCCTTTCTGCTCCAACCTTCTGTCCGCTTGATTACAAAATGACTTTGGCAATCTGCCATTTCCTCTGTGTTCAGAGGGAGCAATAAATCTCATCCCAGCTCTGAACAAACCCCCACATATAATTACTCGATAACATTCCAGAGGTGATATATTTTGTGGCATGAAAAATCATCCACACTCTAAAATGTTCAGGGATTTCACTTTTCACTTCAACTAATAAAGCTGATGGATCCTTCTTCCTCCTTTATGTACACACAGAAATCTTTGTCCTCCTTTCTCCTAAGTTCATCAGTAAACATTCCAGTTAAATGAAGCATATGTCAGCAACTGAAGGGCGAAAGCTTTGTAAATGAATCTTCTGGAGTCCTGGAATTATTCCACATCTCCTTTCCAGGCGAAAGGGCTAACGTACAGCACGTGTTTATAGAAAACTGGAGAAGTAAGGTACTTAAGTATGTTAACTATTCCATCAGTGATTTATTTCTTCCTGGCCATACAGAGGAGGAGATTATCTCTGGATAGTAACACAAGTGTAAAAAAAAATAAATAGGTCTAGCTGATTACTAAAGTCGCCACCATTTTTGTAGTCAAGTCCCTTCTTAATGTTCACATCTCCCATGATGCCCACAGGAAGTGTATCAATCCATCATTATTAGTAGATATTAATTAAAAAATAAAAATTGATCTATGTGAGATTCTAATCGTCTTCCAACGAATAGTACTTTATACCATGAGTTGTCCCCTGAAGTCAATGGAACTGACGCATGGTGCAACTAAATCAGGGTATCAGAATCTGGCCCTAAGATATTTCTGTGGCAACTGCTTCCATCGTGTCTAAGCACTGTTATCGGTCACTTTACCCCAGCTTCCCTGCTTCTAGCACATTGTGAGGTCCGTAGAGCAGGGACCATCTTCCTGATGGGCTCTCAACAGCACAGTGTTGAAGTGTCACGGGCACAAATTATGCTTGTACCTTTTTTGGCATATGAAGAAAGAGGCCTCAAAAGACGTTTTAAAAGTTTTTCCCCCATCTTAATGTTATTTTTACAAGAGATGGTTGAAAAATGGTGTGTGTGTGGGGAGGGGGGCGGGTCACAAAAATTACAAAGCGTCTTCAATTTTTTACAAATATTTCAACCGGTTCTATTCCGTGTGCAATGGCAAGTCTGGTTGGGGCAGAGAACTTTTTGGGAGTCCCACAGGATGTTCGCTGGGAGCTCACGGAATCAAAGGGCCGGGTGTATTGAATCTTTAACATAGTTGCCTTTTCTCCAAAATGTAAGCAGGCATTGCAGTTAAATAATGTCACATATATAAACAATTTAACATATTGACTACAAATCTCTCCCCCTCCCAGTTGCTCACATTTCATTCTCTTAACTTTTGTACAAAATTTCAAGCAGTCATCACAGAGTCTTCCAGGCAGACAAAAGCTGGATTTCTAATGTAAAAACCAAGCAGAATCCTGCCCTATTTACAAAGTCTTTCCAGCTTTCACTATCTGTCACAAAGAAGCATAAAAGGTCACAAGCCCAATTTCTCCCCCTTTTATAACGTTTGCAAGTCTTAAATGACACTGAACTTCCTAATACAATAGAATGGCTTGGTTTACAGGGAAGAGCTCTGCCACGCAAGCTGAAAAGGGAATTTTATAACGCAGGTAGCTGTGTGGGTGGGAAGTTCAGGAGTCATCACAGCAGCAGTGACAGAAGGTGAGATGTTATAGAATAAGTATTGCTCTGAACAAGTGAAAGAGGAGAGCTGATTGCATTGGTTCTGTGTTGAGTCAGTCTGAGAACCTGCTATGTTGTGAGCTTCCAAGACTCATATCTTCCAACTAAATTAAAATAAACCAGATTAAGGCCACTTTGATTCTGCATGAGAGCGTCCGCACAAGGGCTGAATGCACTTTAACTACTCCACTTTAAATTCGTACCTTCCTTTTGTGATTTCAGATTAACTCTCCTTAGCGTCCCTGTGTAGACAAGCCCCAGGAGTCATGCTGTCTGGTTCAGGAATTAGAATGAAAGGAGGAAATGATGCCTGGGGATTGCCCCTCTGTAGAAGCCCAGGTGGCACAGATCTGACTCTGTGTGCCCATCGCACAGCCTTTGATGTAAGGGGCTAATTAGTCCCCAGTGTGATACTGATTCACGTGATGCGGACACCTGACTGCAGTTCAGCAATGCCCAGGCACCTGCAGGGTTGCAGCCTCTCTCTGGAAGCATATCTGCAGCTGCCCCTGTTCTTCCAGCCCACTGTGATTTCTGTGCTGCAGTCACCCCTGGAGTATTTATGGGGGTGCTTTAGGGATATTTTACCAATCGCTTTTCAGATTTACCCGCTGATGAATGAGGGAAGAGGTGCAAAGTGAGGGATGGTTCCCCTCCCCCTCCTGAGACTTAGTGTCTTTGGGATCCAATAAGAACAGGTGTCGGGAGAGCCCCAGAATCTGCCTGCCCAGACCAGTGGAGACTGAGTCAGCTCCTCTCCCTTTCTGGAGTAACAGGAGAAGATAAACACTGCTTGGGAGAGGAAGGAAGAGGACGACCTGGCATTCTGCTGTCATGGCCTGGCTCCACTGATCGGTCCAACCACGCTATTTAAGCCGGAAGGAGGCACAGGAAGTTTGTCCGAGCAACAAGGTGATTTCCTGTTCTTGCTGAGCCTGCTTCGGACCCTGCTTGTGCCTGCCTGCTGACCCTAACCCTGTTCCTGCTTCCTGTTCCACTCCTGGCTCCTGCCTCGCCCCGCCTTTGCTCCTGTTCCCGCCATGGTCCTCTCCCTTCCAGTTCCTGCCAGATGCCTTGCCCACTGGTTACCAGTTCCAACCGTAGGCTCCGACTTCTGATTCTGACTCAGGCTCGACCCCTGGCTCTGGCCCTCAGCTTCGATTCCTGGTTCTGACTCTGGCTTGACCCCTGGCTCTGGTAACTGGCTGTTGATTCTGATACTGACCCTTGGCTTCGTTCCCCAACCTGGATGCCTGCTCCGCCCACTAGACCTGACTCCTGCTCTGAGTACTAGGCCAGACTGCTTACATCCCGCTCCGTAACAGCGGGGAGGTACCTCCGGGAACTAGTTCAGGCTCCTTGATTCAGTCCTGGCCTGGCCCTGGCATGGGAGCAGCCATGAAGCTGCTCCGACTTACATCAGTGGAGAGCTGATGTGACAGAGCCCTGCTTTGGCCCCCGCTTCTGCCTCCAGCTCACTCCCAATAACCTCCCATCTCTCGCCACGCTCTGGGTGCAGGCGCTGGCAGAGCCACCTCCGCCATCGAGGAGCTCCTCTCCAAACAGGGAACTCTCTGCTGGCTGTTGCTGCTCAGCATCCGAATGGCCCAAAGAGGATGGGGTGGAGCGGAGAATCCATCTCCCAGGTGCTCGCTGCAATGCCAGGAGACTCCTCTAGTGTCATAGACCCGGTGTAGAGTCCCCTACGCCACTCTTCACCCGCTAACGCCACCACAGGGGACATGGGGAGAGGAAAGGACATAGGGCCAGGGCGCCCCTGCACTGCCCCAATCCCTGGCTGTGATTCGAGGACTCCTCAAGCTGCTGTAACGCACCTTGGGCACCAGCTCCGGACACAGCAGCCCCAGGCTCAGGCGAGCTTCTAAGCCCACCCCCGTCCCTACGTGTCAGAGCCGGAGCTCCAGCCTAAGCTGCCACTGCAAAGTGCTGTCTACCCAACTGTCTGTACAGCGCTAGGGCGAGCCGTGCTGACCCGTCTGCCGACCTGGGCTGGGAGGCTCACCTCCGCGGGCCGCGTGTGGACGTATGCCTCGGCCCCTCCAGCACAGCCTGTGCTGTGCACAGTTTGGCCTGACCCCAGGCCCTGCGCAGGAATCCTGTGTGTATTTTTCCACACCGTCATCATTGCTGTTAGTTCAAGGACATTTGCAGAAAAGAATAGGCAGGGTCCTGCCAACGCTTGGACTGCGTTTTCCCTACAGTAAATAAGTGCCTTTGCGCTCTCTGCTCCTAATTAACCAAGCGAGATATGAAAATGCTGGATGCTGGAGCAGCCCGACTCTCTGGGTGAAGGTCTGGGGCACTTGAAGTGTGCTCTTAATGCATGGTCTCAGCTGTAATTCAACACAGGCAGTCTCCGGAGACCTGACCAGTGCTTAAAGCCGTTCTCGCTCTAAAGAAAAGTCCACTGCAGTTAAAGGGGGGGGGGGTGATTCCCCTCCAGTTTAAATGAAGCCAGCATAAAGCCCATACAGTGCATCAATTTAAAATCTGTAATGTAAAGCCCCTGGAAAGTGCATTTACATTTGGCCGGAAGCATCCAGCCACAAATGCACCCGTTGTCTTTGTTGCGAGAAGAGAGCTTCCAGGCAGCTGAGTGCAGGTCAGGTCAATGTCAGGAAGGGTTTGTTTTAGGTGAGACTCTTGTGCTTTCCAGCTCATTCAGCTGGGTCGGTTCTCTGAGCTGTACACAAAGGCCACGACCACGGGTTACGAATACATTTCAAGTGCCACAGACTTTGACCCACAGTTTCCCTGCTCCAATATTTTCACCCCTTGTCTCGTTGATTACGACCAGAAGGTCACTCATTTACTGTAGTAGAGTCAGTGATAAAACGGAATTCACTAATATATATAATGGAGCCAGGCCAGAGCTGCACTCTTCAGACCCTGCACTGAGCACATCCGAAGTCCAGGGGGTGTTTGGATCGAGGGTTCTGGTTCAGTCCATTGCAGGCCAGCTAGGCAGTTGGGCTTTGCATCAGAACATTCCCCAACTCTAAGGTATTTATTATATCACAATAGCACCTAGAGGCCCCCACATAGTAGTGGTCAAGACAGAGAAAGGGCAGGTGGGGAAATTGAGGCACAGCGAGGTGACATGATTTGCCTAAGGTTGCACATCAGAGTTGAGACTAGTTCCCACTCTCCTGACTCTCACGCTAGCACCCCATCCCCCAGACTCCTGTTTATACTCCCCCATTTGCTCTGGGCCTGTCTCTAGTGCACAACCTGGCAGCCTTTCACCTCTCAAAATGTTGGTGAGCTTTGGGACCAAACACTCTCCCTGCTCTCAGTGGAGGGGTTTGCAGGGCTGCAGGTCCAGTTTTGCACCTGGTGTTGCAGTTACTTTGTTAGACCCTTCAAGCTCTTTGCTAGTTCCCCCCCCCCCCAGCCCCCCAGTCACAGAGCAGGTCTCGTGTGTGTGTCCTGGACCAGCACTGCCTGCTGTCTGACAGAAACCCATGGGCACGCTGAGGTCATTCCACTGCTGAAATGAAGTGGGAGTGTCTGGCACCGCTTGAAAGACGCTTGGCTGGAAGGAGTGTTATTCCGTGGTCTGTGTGAAAGGAGCTGATGGTCTCCTTCCAGTCCGTAGCCAGCAGCTGCCCACATCACACAAACCGTCCCTACAATTGGCACTAGCTGGCCCCCTTGCAGGCAGCGTCAGCAAAGAAGCTGAGCGTTGAAGAGAGCTATGGAGACTCAGCAACCCTTTCAGTCCTGTTGTTATTTCGAGTGCCCGGGGCAAATGGTGCTTGACAGGAGGCAAGATGGGCCAACACTGAACAGCTCGGTGGGTCGGAGAAATGTAGGGACAGTCGGACACAATACAAAGCTCATTGCTTAGGGTGGTCCCACAGGACAGGAGGAAGCACACTGGCTGGAGTGGTAGGCCCGGCTGCCCTGTGCTGGCCCTGTTCTGTGGAGGAACTCAGGGTTTTATTCTCCAGGGCTGTCAATCCAGCATCACCGGAGCTTTATCCAGGCAGGTATCTGCACTCAGACATCACCCAAGCATTAGGGGTCGCTCCATTGTGCCTCGGGCCAGGAGGTCATGGTTTGTAGATCATCTGCTTTATGCTGCTTGGTTGGGTTTCTTGTGGCGCTTGCTGCGATGGCCACATTGTCCCTGCCATGCCTGCTCACTCCTTCCCTTTAACACGTAGTCCTGCCATGAGTGCGGGGCACTGGACTAGATGACCTCTTGAGGTCCCTTCCAGTCCTATGATTCTATGATTCCCGCAGATGCTGAAGGAGCTCCAGACTGGGTCTGTGCCTGGAGGAGACCAATTCCCTGTCCACCAGCTCCCGTGTTCCATGCATGGAAGGAAAGTCCCTCACCCCAACTCTTGAGCATGGGAAGGGAGGGCCCCATAGATAGGTCCTTACCCCAACTTCCCTACAGCATGGGGGTAGGTCTCTTCCCTACCCAAGCCAGCTGCTTCACTCCTGTGGAACTGAGCATGGGAGGAAATAGCCATCTGCTGCTGCCCCCAAGCATCTCCTGACTTCATGGCACATCCCCAGCCCCGATTCTCCAAGGCACCCCGGGAGCAGTAGGAAAGTTCTTTTAAGCAGTAGAGAGGGTTGAGGCGTTTCACTAGCGGTAGGACTTGGACACCTCAGCTCACTTAGAACACACACCGTCCCCAGGGGCACCATTTCAGATTTTGGTAGGCTACCTAGGCACCTGAAAATTCAATTTTTTTGGCAGATAAGTTAGCAATTAGCTGACAGGAGCACCGTGTCTCATTCCTATACAAAAGAAAGAAAAGTAAATAAATATGGGACCCTCTCATCTCTAATACTAACATGTTCGGACATCTTGTGGCAAGTCATTTAAGGGACCCTGGTTAGGTTTAAAATTGTAATGTATATTCTTACTTTATTCCTTGTTGGTAATTCTGTGGAGAGAGAGACCCTGTCAGGACTCCTGGGTTCTATCCCAGTTCTGGGAGAGGAGTGGGGTGTAGTGGGCTACAGTGGGGGGCAGATATATCTGGGTTATGTATAAGAACATCAGAACGGCCAGACTGGGTCAGACCAATGGTCGATCTAGCCCAGTATCCTGTCTTCCGACAGCGGCCAGCGCCAGGTGCTTCAGAGAAAATGAATAGAACAAGCGCTAATCAAGTGATTCATCCTGTTGCCCATTCCCAGCTTCTGGCAAACAGATGCTAGGGACACTTCAGAGCATGGGGTTGCATCCCTGCCCATCCTGGCTAATAGCCATTGAGGGACCTACCCTCCCTGAACTTATCTAGTTCTTTTTTGAACCCTGTTATAGTTTTGGCCTTCACAGCATCCCCTGGCAATGAGTTCCACACGTTGACTGTGAAGAAATACTTTCTTTTGTTTATTGTAAATCTATTGCTTATTAATTTCATTGGGTGAGCCCTAGTTCTTGTGTTACGTGAAGGAGTAAATAACACTTCCTTATTCCTTATTCAGAGTAACAACACGGCTGTTACTCTGAAACTTCCTTATTCAATTTTTTCACTCCAGTCATGATTTTATAGACCCCCTAGTATATCCCCCCTTAGTCATCTCTGTTCCAAGCTGAAAAGTCCCAGTCTTATTAATCTCTCCTCATATGGAAGCCGTACCATACCCCTAATAATTTTTGTTGCCCTTTCCTGAACCTTTTCCAATTCCAATATATCTTTTTTGAGATGGGGTGACCACATCTGCAGGCAGTATTCAAGCTGTGGGCCTACCATGGATTTATATAGAGGCGATATGATATTTTCTGTCTTATTATCTATTTCTTTCCTCATGATGCCCAACATTCTGTTCGCTTTTTTGACTGCTGCTGCACATTGAGTGGATGTTTTCAGAGAACTCTCCACAGTGACTCCAAGATCTCTCTCTTGAGAGGTAACAGCTAA